ATGATAGCTTTCTGAATTCTTTATCAGTTATTTCACACTCTTCCATGACTTTATGTTTGGTTTCTTATTTTCTTTTTGTAATGCTGTGTTATTGTGGCCTTTTTTGATGCCTGCTCAATTATTTGTCTGCCTTTTGTCATACCAAACACTTTTCTTATTTAAGTAAGACTTTATTTTTATTCTAGCTATTCAACCAATTGGAGATTACAGGCCTTTCTTTTGTTTTTCAGCAGGTGGCGCTATAGCACCAGCTTTTGGTTTCTCTTACCTGTGCTCCCTCTTGGCTATCTTTGAGGATGGGCACTTTCCTCACTCCACTGCCTCTATTAGGTGTGCCACCAGGTACTCTCATCATTGCAGCCTGTGTCTCTACAGGTCACTAATGCCTTGCTGTTGCCAGTGTCACTGCAGTTACAGGCTTCACCACCAATGGTATTGGGATGAATGACACGTCCACCATGTCCAGGATCACCTGGTCAGAAACACTCCTGCCATGGCAGGGAAAAGGGCAGGGTGAGAATGGAGCCAGGTTTTGCCTCTCCACCTCTACTGTTGCCCATTTCTTTGCAGCCACAGACAAAACTACAATTGGGAGGCCGGAATTGTGTGTGTGCCTCCATTGCTGCTACCAGGCTCTGAGCTACAGCTGAGGGCCCAGGATGCAGGACTCTGCCTTTGCTGAAGTTCTGCTCCATGTTGCCACAGGTGCACTGTGACTGGGAGCCATACTTACTTGTGTGCCTCTGCTGCTGCCCACTGTGTTCTCTGTGGCTGGAGGCAGCTGGTTCAGCCACCATGGCCAAGATCCAAGATGCTGGGCACCAACTCTGCTCTTCCCCCATTTAGCCTCCCTTATGTGCTCCAATCCAGTCACTTTCATATGTATCTATGTGTGGATCTCTGGCATCCTGGTGTGTTGGGCAATGTAGTCTTTGTTGGGCTCTGGATGTTTTACTTACTGTAGAAGGAAGGGGAGGGGCAAAGGAATCCTCTCACACCACCATGGTGATGATGTCTCCCTACACAAGTTTTTGATAAGCAATTTTTGCCTTATGATTCTGTGCCAGGGATACTGTGGATGCTGAGCTGATAAGAGATCAGAGTCCTAATGAAAATAATGAAACTCCACAACCAGCTACAAAAGAAACTAGGATGTTAAAGTTTATGTTATCAGGAAAAGCTGTTAACGTAGTGATACAGAAAAGAACAAAGGACGTAAAAGTGATAAAACTGTGGTTTCAAAATTTCATCTATGATAAAACATGCAAATAGCCTAACTTGTGAAATGTGTTTCACAATTTCATCTATGATAAAACATGTAAATAGCCTAACTTGTGAAATGTGTTTATTACATAAAACAAGTACAACTCATCACTCTGTTAGGCAAATGGGAATCTCCAAATTGTTTCTGATCCAAAGTTGGGAATAACTTTGAGAAATTAGGGGGAAAAAAAAAGGAAAAATGTCGGATATCAGAATAATCAGAAAGTTTAATAAATGGAGTTATTTAAATTTAATAAAGCAGTTAAAATTTTAAAAGTTGAAATTCCAGCATATAAATAGCAAGATTAAGTTGGTCTTTCATGATTTGATTGAAGAATCACAATTTCTGGCTGCTGGCATGGAGCCCTACAATCACTTCTTGAAAAATGGCCACTTTATGGCTTTACCCTGAAGAAAGTCTTCAGAGCTCCCTCTGTCTTTGTCCTCAGACTGTAGCTGAAGGGATTCAGTATAGTACACTATAACCACAGTGTACATCACTGAGGCTGTTGCTCTTAAGTGTGAGCTGTGGGTAGCAGCAGAGCTGAGGTACACTCTCAGGACCATACAATAAAATAAGGAGACAACTGAGAGGTGAGATGCATAGGTAAAAAAGGCTTTATACTTCCCCTGAGCTGATGAGATTCCATGTATGGAAGAAACTATCTTAGAGTCAGAGTAAAGGACGTCAGCCTGGGAACCATCACCCAGCAGGACAGCTGCAAAATACATCACCATGTTACCAAGAAAGGTGTCAGAACAGGCAAGTTGGACCACCTGATTAAGTTCACAGAAAAAGTGGTGAATTTTCAAGCCTCTACAGAAGGACAGCCACAATATCATTAAGCTGTGTAACATGGAATGTGGGATACTGATAATGCAAGTTACCAGAACCAGCAGCCCATAGAGCAGGGGGTTCATGATGACCATATAGTGCAGGGGGGTGACAGATAGTGACAAACTTGTTGGAGGCCATCACAGTCAGGAGGAAACTGTCCAACCCTACAAAGAGTATGAAAAAGGACATTTGTATATGCAGCTTTCATAAGTTATAACTTTTCTCTGTGTCTGCATATTCACCAGCATCTTTGGAACAGTGGTTGAGGTGAAATTGATGTCTATAATAGACAGATTGAGAGGAAGAAGTACATAGGGTGTGGAGGTGGGAGTCAGAGCTGACAGCCAGAGTGATTAGTAGGTTCACAAGTATGGTGACCAAGTACATGGACAGGAACAGCCCAAAGAAGAAGGATTGCAATTCTTGTTTATCTGAAATTCCAAAAGGAAGAAATTCTGAAATTTTTGTATTATTCCCTGGCTTCATGTAATTGATATGACTACCGAAAAAAAGAGAAAAAAGAACATGACACAATCATGAATTACTAACCTGGCAGATATGCTATTATTTATATTCTACACTCAAGAAATTAATTTTTACATTTATGTATGGAGCATGATAAAAACACTAAAAAACTAGGAATAATAGGAAACTACCTTAATGTTCTAAAAGCCATTTATGAAAACCCACAGTGAACATTATACAACCCCATTAATTATACAGTATTCATGGGAAAATGGTTCCAGGACTCCCACAGACACCAAAATCCACACATGCTCAAGTCTCATATATGAACTAGCATAGTATTTGCATATAACCTATGCACATCCTCTCATACACTTTAAAACATCTCTAGATTACTTATAATGTAAATGCTATGTAGATAGTTGTTACACTGTATTGTTTTGGAGGATTAATGAACAGAAAAATATCTGTGCATGTTCATTACAGATGCAGGTATCATAGGTCTTTCAATCTGTTGTTGGTTGAATCCACGGATATGGAACCCACGGATATGGAGGACCAACTGTACTCAATGGTGCAAGATTGATCCGTTTTCTTGTAAGATCAGAAACAAGACAAGGATGCCCACTTTTGTAACTTTGATACAAAATAACACTGGAAGTTCTAGACAAAGCAATTAAGTCAAGAAAAAGAGGATGGCCAACAGGCACATGAAAAGATATTCAACAGCACCAATTATTAGGGAAATGCAAATTAAAACTATAATATGATATCACCTTATGCCTATCAGAACGGCTACAATTAACAAGACAAGAAATAACAAGTGTTGGAGAGGATGTGGAGAAAATGGAACTCTCATACACTGCTGGTAGGAATGAAAACTGGTGCAGCCACTATGGAAAATAGTATGGAGATTCCTCAAAAGATTAAGAATGAGTCTACCATATGATCCAAGTATTCCACTTCTGGATAACATGAAAACACGAATGCATAAAGATACATGCACCCCTATGTTCATTGCAGCATTATTCACAACAGCCAAGACCTGGAAACAACCTGAGTGCCCATCAGTGGATGAATTGATAAAGATGTGGTTTATATACACAATGAAATACTGCTCCGTCACAAAAAAGATGAAATGTTGCCATTTGCAACAACATGGATGGACCTTGAGAGTATTATGCTAAGTGAAATAAGTCAGAGAAAGTCAAATACATATTATTTCACTCATAAGCTGAAGAAAACAACAAACAAGCAAACACATAGAAACAGAGATTAGATTGGTGGCTGCCAGAGGGGAAGGGTGAGAGAGGAGGCAAAAGGGATAATATGGCACATGTGTACAGTGATGGATGGTAATTAGTTTTTGAGTTGTGAGCATGGTACAGTCTACACAGAAATTGAAATATAATGAAGTACAACTGAAATTTATATAATGTTATAAACCAAAGTTACCGCAATAAAAAATTTGATAAATTAACATTAAACAATATTTATCACTAAGGAAGAACAAAAGATGAGGGAAACAAAGAGAAAGAAAGAAAGTAAGTAAGAAAGAAAGAAAGAAAGAAAGAAAGGGAATCCAAATTGGAAAGGAGGAAATAAATTTATGTCTGTATGCAGATGATGTGATCTTATATGTAGAAAATTCTAAAGATTCCACACAAAAAAAAACTAATAGAACTAATAAATGAATTCAGCAAAGTAACAGGATAAAAAATCAACACACAAAAATCAGTTGCATGACTGTATACAAACAATGAACAACTTGAAAAGGAAATTACAAAACGAATTCCTTTTACAATGTTATCTGAAAGAATAAAATACTTAGGAATTAAGGAAGGAGGTGAAAACCCCAAGGAACTTGAAGAATCATGGAAACATTTCATCAGTAAAAGATAACGATATCCTTCAGTAACTGAACTCAAAGGCATGGAATTTTGTGATGCAGCTGATAAAGAATTGATGTTTTGAGGAAACTCAATGAGCTAAGAAAACACAGAAAGATAAATCAGTGAAATGAGGAAAGCAATATGTGAACAAAATGAGAAATTCAACAAAGAGCTAGAAATCATACAAAAAAAAACAAATAGAAATTCTGGAGCTGAAGAATTTAGTGAATGAAATGGAAAATACAATAGAGAACATAACAACAGAATAGACCAAGGAGGATATAGAAGCCGTGAGTTAAAGGATAAGACTATTGAATAACCTGCTCGGAGGAGAACAAATAAAACAGATATAGAGAGAGAGACACCAGAATACACAGTTGTCTCAAGGACACATGGAAAACTCTCCAGGAGAGATCCTATGAGAGGCCACAAAAAGTATCTTAGCAAATTCAAGAAGGGGAAATCATACCAAGTATCTTTTTTGATAACTCTGATATGAAACAAAAATCAATAACAGGAAGAAATATGGAAAATTCACAAGCATGTGGAGATTAAATTACATGCTCCAGAACAACGAATGGGTCAAAGAAGAAATCAAAAGGGAGATCAAGAGAGGCCTCACTAGGGATCATTGGCCACCTGCCCTAAACAGTTCCTGGGGGCTCTGCCACAGCCTCTATCACTATGTGATCTGCTCTGGCCATGGGAGTAATGGGAAGGATTCAGGGGGACCCAGGAGGCCTAGAAGTGGACTTGGTGGCCATTTAGGATGTGGCTGTGAACTTCACCCTGAAGGAGTGGGCTTTACTGGGTCCTTCATAGAAGAAACTCTACAGAGATGTGATGTGAGAAACCTTCAGGAACCAGGCCTCAATAGGAAAAACATGGGAAGGTCATGATATTGAAGATCAGTACAAAAACCAGGGTAGAAAACGAAGAAGTCATATGGTAAGGAGTCTGTGAAAGTGAAGAGAGTACTCAATGCAGAAAACATTTCAGCCTCATTCCAAATCTCAATCTGACAAGAAAACTACAGGAGCTAAACCATGTGAATGATGTGCATGTGGGAAACTCTTTGTGCGTCATGCATCCCTTAACAGGCACCTTAGAGTCACACTGAATCCACACCATATGACTATCAACAATATGGAGAGAAGCCATATACGTGTAAGGAAGGTGGTTTCACTCTTACCAGTTTTCTTCAAATACATGAAAGAACTCATACTGGAGAGAAACCCTATGAATGTAAAAAATGCAGTAATGCGTTCACTTCTTCCAGTTCTCTTTAAGTCCATGAAAGGATTCATACTGGAGACAAACTCTATAAATGTAAAAACTGTGGGAAAGCCTTTATAGCTCCCTCAAGCCTTTGATCACACATGATCTTTCACACTGGAGATGGACCTTATAAAAGTAAGGAATGTGAGAAAGTGTTCATTTCTTCCAGTGCATTTCAAGTACATGAAAGGAGTCACAGTGGAGAGAAACCCTACGAATGTAAAGATTGCAGTAACACATGCAGTCATTCCAGTACACTTTGAATATACGAAAGACGTCACACTGGAGAGAAACCCTATGAATGTGAAGAATGTGAGAAAGCCTTAAGTTCTCATCAAAGTTTCCAAATACATAAAAGAAGTCATACAGGAGAGAAACGATATGAATTTAAAAATGTAGCAAAGCTTTTAATTTTCCCAGTTCTCTTCAAAGACATGAAATAACTCACATGGGAGAGAAACCCTGTGAATGTCAGTAAAGTGGGAAGGCCTTTATTTTTCATGCAAACTTTCAAGGATATACAAGAAAGCATACTAGAGGAAAAACCAATTAAATATAATGGATGCGGGAAAGGCTTTCATCATCACAGTTCTTTCTGAAGGCATAAAAGGAGTCACTTGATAAAAAGTAAATGAAAGTAAACAGCATGGGAAGGACTTCAATTAGCCTACATCCTTCTGTGTGAAACTCCCATCAAAAAGAAATATACATCTAGGTAATATGTGAAAGCTTGATGGAAATTAACTTGTGTATAATGTTCTAGAAACTTTCAACATGAAAGACTTATAAAAGTTGTAAATATATTGTGTTTATCTTGCATCTTTCTTAAAGTGCAACATTGGATTATGGATTTCTATTAATTACTTTCAGAAATGAATATTGAGGAGAAATAACTGTGCAAGTCATCTTTAATCTCTAGTACATAAGATTACTAGGTAGTGCTTTTTCTTTAAATCAGTTAATAATATTTTCCTTTAACTTTTTTATAGTGTTGTAATTGTTCTCTGTTAAGGGGCCACTGAAAAATGACAGTTTGTATTTGTTGGAATTTTCATCCTGGCCTTGTATTGCTGCTCCTGGATATGCTTAGTCTATTGTATATATTTCCCTTATTAGATAAAGCTCCTTTTTCCAGGTGGTGGGTACTGTTTTTATTTTCCATAATATTAAACAGTTGGAAGAAGTTTTTAGGTATGGTAAATTTTTAAAAAGAAAAAGAGGGAATCAAGAAATAACTTGAAATGAGCAAAAATGGAAGCACAATATACCAAAACCTATGGGGTACTGCCAAAGCAATTCTAAGAGGGAAGTTTATAGTAATAAATGCCTACATTAAGAAAGAACTCAAATAACCAACGACACTTTACACCTCAAGGAACTAGAAAAAGAAAAACAAACTAAGTCCAAAGTTAGGAGAAGGAAGAAAATAACAAAGATCAGAGCAGAAATAGATCAGAAACCAGAAAAAAATAGAAAAAAAATCAATGAATCTAAGAGCTAGTTCTTTGAAAGGATACACAATATACACCAACCTCTAGTTACACTAAGATAAAAGAGAGAAGAATCAAAAAAATACAATAAGAAACTGATACCCCAGAAATACATAGGACCATAAGAGAATACCATGAACAATTATATGCCAACAAATTGGATAACTTAGAAAAAATGGATACATTTTTAGCACATACAACCTACCTGACTACATCAGGAAGAAATAGAAAATCTGAACAGACCAATAATGACCAGGGAAATTGAATCAGTAATCAAAAACCTCCCAACATGGAAAAGCCTGGTACCAGATGGTTTCAGTAGTGAAATATAGCAAACATATAAAGAATATTTAATGTCAATCCTTCTCTAACTCTTCCAAAATATTGAAGGGGAAGGAACACTCCAAAAACCATTTTACAAGAGCAATGTTATCCTGATACCATAACCAGATAAGGATACAACAAGAAAAAAACTATAGACCAATATCCCTGATGAATATAGATGTAAACATTCTCAACAAAATATTAGCAAGCCAAATTAAAAAGCACAGTAAAAGGATCATTCACCACGGTCAAGTGGGATTTATCCCTGTGAATCAAGGCTGGTTCAACATACATCAATCAATAAATGTCATACACCATATTAATAGAATAAAAGATAAAAATCATATGATCATCTCAACATCTTCAGAAAAAGCATTTGACAAAATACAACATCTTTTCATGATAAATCCTCAATAAATAGGATATAGAAGGAACATACCTCAACAGTATAAAGGTCATATACAACAAACACATAGCTAACATCATGCTCAAGGGTAAAGGGTTGAAAGCTTTTCCTCTAAGATCAGGAACAAGACAGGTGTGTCCAATCTCACCACTCCTATTGGACATAGTACTGGAAGTCTGACCCAGAGAAATTAAGCAGGAAAAGAAACAAAATTCATCCAAATTGAAAAGGAAGAAGTAAAATTGTCATTTTTTGCAGATGATATGATCTTTTATACAGAAAATTCTAAAGAATCCACCAAAACACTATTGGAATTCATCAATGAATCCAGTAAAGTTTCAGAAAATAAAATCATCATACAGAAATCAGTTGTGTTTCTATATATTAACAGTAAAACATCTGAAAAAGAAATAAAGAAAACTATCCCATTCGCCATAGCATCAAAAACAACAAAATAGTAATAAATTTAACCAAGGAAATGAAATATATGGACAATTAAAACTGTAAGACATTGATGGAGTTGATATCAAGATGGCAGCATACACAGACTCTCAACTCACCTCCTCCCATGAACACAACCAAGATACAATTATTCTTGGAAAAATTACCACTGAGAGAGAACTGAAAATTGGATCAAAAGAACCCACACAACAAGGGACAGTCCTGACTGAGGTGGAAGAGGAAGAATTTCCTTTCTGGAGAGAAAAAAGCCACCTTCATGAGCTGCAGAGCTTCACGGCCATCTGAGAGCAATCCTAATATTAGGATTGTTCCCTGGAGGAGTGGAAGCGTGTTACCACTATAAGCATCCTTCAGACTCAGCACAACTGAGATGAGTGTCATAACATCCCACTTTGCTGGCTATTAACTACAACAGGGAATACCCCTGGAAAACCTATGGGACATAAGTGGGGAAAAAAACAACACTTAAGGGCCCATGCACAAATTCACCCATTTTGGAAAGCAACGTAAAGTCATCAGAAAGAAAGGTGCACAGACCTTTGGTGAAAAGAGACTCACCTGATAGGCTGTAGTGCATCTTGGTGAAAAGTGAGACATCTCCAGGGACTGAGACAGTGGTGACAGCCATTAGTGTGACCTAGATAGAGGTGTTGACAGAAGCTCGCAGATGCCATTGGAGTTCTTCCCCTGGCCTGTTAGCCCAGGGTCTGCCCCACCCACTAGAGCACTTATTTAATCCTGCTCAGCCATGGCAGGCAGACTGCCCTAGGGACTAGCCTCACCCAACAGCAAGCCCTCAGGCAACTCTTCAGCCTGTATAGACTGGGTCCCTGGATCCTCTGCAGGCAAGTGAGTGGGTGCACTTCTATGGGGCAAGGCATGCATGAGGAGAGTGTGGAGCATGTGGGGCATTGGTGGAGTGTATGACGACCTCTGCAGTGGGGTGACTGGACATGCTCCACAGGGCCAAGATGTGTGCATGGGCCAGGACTGTGTTGATGGTGTGTGTGGACCTGTGTGCCCTGAGGCTTATCAGTGGCAGAAGACTGGTGCTTCTCAAACACTCACATTGGGGATCAGCCCCACCTTTAAAAGCCTGAAACAGTTGGGTGCTCTTGAGCCTGGGGCCAACTCCACTCAGCTGCACTCCTGAGAGAGCTTGCAACATCTTTGCAGGCTGGAGGCCTACAGTATTTGTAAGCTCCTGAGCCTAGCGAACAGCCAGACTGAGGGCCTAGTCACTTAACAGGAAAACTGCAGCAAGTATGTGTTATTAGGCCTTGCAGACAACTGAGCTGGTGCTCCCCAAACCCAACAAAGTGACAGAAGTGTCCAGAACAGCCACACACAAATGAGCATTACAATCAGCTGGCCAGGGATACAGCCTAGACTCCCTGGGCACCTGCAGCAAAAGCAACCCCATCACAACAGAAGGACACACATAGCCTACACAGGAGTCACTCCTGGAACATTTCGAATTGGTGATGAGGGGAAGCACACTGCTGGGCCTCAAAAGGTGAATCCTACATAAGGCAACTTCTCCAAGATCAGGAGACACAGCTGACTCACCTAATACATACATATAAGCACAGAGAAAGAGGCAGAATGAGGAGGCAAAGGAACAGGTTCCAAACAAGAGAACAGTACAAAACTCCAGAAAAAGAACTAAATGAAACAGAAATAAACAATCTACCTGACAAAGAGTTCAAACAAAAATTCATAAAGATGCTCAACAATCTTGGGAGAAGTGTGGATGAACATTCACAAAGAATTGGAAAATATAAAAAAGAACCAATCAGAAATGAAGAATACAATCTGGAAAGGGAAAATTCACTAGAGGGACTCAATAGCAGAGTAGTTGACACAGAAGAACAGATCAGTAAGC